CTTCAGAAAACTTGTTCATCATTGGCAGAAATGTATGCAATTGTCTGGTGATTGATTATGTGGAAAAGCGAATAATGATAGTTAAAGAGCACATTCTAAGGATTATTTCTGCGTTCGATTTATTAAAATAGTCCCATCCAAACCCAAGTAACGAAGATGGAGGCATTACTTTTCATTCAACCCTCGTATTTGATGAATTTTAAAGAAAGTTTGGGACCTGTTCATTACCTTTTCGCAACAACGGGGGCATTTTTCAACTGTGGGATTTATTAATTAGTCAAGTGTGTCTGAACATCTATAAAACTTGCTTGTATATATTATTTTGAATTTTTTTATTGTTGCTTTTTTGAAACTGACTGGACACAAAAGCTGTACTATTTGACTTGTTTATAGTGGAATGGCCATAGTGTGTGTGTGTGTGTGCTTCAGCTAATGCAGCCAACAAATTGCATGTGAATAACGTTTTGGCCTTGTGCCATTGCTTAAAAAAAGACCCTATTCAGGAGATTATATGAATGGGATTATCAAGGCAAGTTGCTCTGGGGTATCCATCCAGTTAAATCACCTTCAGATGCCCAGCAGTGAATGGGCTCCATTGTGAATAATAACACGAAATCTTGGCACGAGAGGGACTGTGAACTTGAAGAGCAACCCTCCACTGTTCAAAGTCTGGCTGCTCATAAATGAGCATCTGTGTAAGGAAATGCGCAGGAAATGCAGCCCTGCCTCTGGCAGCGGTCATGACTTGGTGCGCGATGCACAGTAGAAGAGTCTTTCCTCTTAAATGGATGTAGAGGCTGGATCGAATTTCTTCTGGCAACGTTTGCTCACGAGCCGGACCTTGTTTTGCACAAATGTAACTCCAATCTCTCATTAAAAATATATGAGTGACTTACTGCTATCTGCAACTGCGACAGTAAACGTTGTGGCAGCCAACAACATGGGTATACAATGTACTCATCGCTCTATATTTAGAACATGTAATCAATGCTAAGTTTTTTGAAACAATGGATATGGTTCCTGGGAAGCAGATAGCTCTATTGAGTTGTTGGTTATTAATACCGAAAGAGACAACATCTGTCTTAAGTGCTGTTCCAGCAGTCACCAGCCAATCCCTTTCCAATGCCAGAGATACAGCTTAATGGTGTAACATTAGTAAACGTTGACAATTTCCGCTCCCTTGGCAGCCACCTCTCCATAAATGTCAACATTGACACTGAAATACAACACCGCCTGAGCTCTGCGAGTGCAACATTTTTCCGAATGAAGCAGAGAGTGTTTGAGGACCGGGACATCTGTAGGGATACCAAGGTGCATGTTTATAAAGCTATTGTCCTCCCAACCCTGCTTTACGCCTGCGAAACGTGGACTGTCTACAGATGTCACATGCAACTCCTAGAACAATTCCATCAGTGCTGCCTCCGAAAATTCCTGCAAATCTCTCGGGAAGGCAAGCGGACCAATGTCAGCGTGCTGGAAGAAGCAAAGACCACCAACATTGAAGCGATGGTCCTCCACCATCAACTCCGCTGGACCGGCTACGTTGTCTGGATGCCCGACCATCATCTCCCAAAGCAGTTGCTCTACTCCGAACTCAAGAATAGAAAACGGAATGTTGGTGGACAGGAAAAGAGATTGAAAGATGGGCTCAAAGCCAACCTTAAAAACTGCAGCATAGACACTGAGAACTGGGAAGCCCCAGCCCTTGAGTGCTCCAGCTGGAGGTCAGCTGTGACCAGCAGTGCTGTATAATTTGAAGAGGCACGAATGGAGGGCGAAAGAGAAAAATGTGCCAAGAGGAAGGCGCGTCAAGCCAACCCTGACCGGGATCGCCTTCAACCTGGAAACCTATGTCCTCACTGCGGGAGAAGATGCAGATCAAGAATAGGGCTCCACAGTCACCTACGGACCCACCAGAACACTGATCCTGGAAGACTATCCTGCTCGGCCAATGAAGGATCACCTAAGTAAATAACTAGTAGTAAGTATATGGTTTATGGTTAAAATAGCATTAGGGGTACATCTACCCCAGTCATTCTCAAACTCTTAAACCTTCCAGTGTTTTGGACTTCAACTCCCAGAATCCCTGTGGAATGCCAACACAGGAAATAAGGACAGAAACTTTCAAGCAAGAGGGACCTCTTTTAGTATCCCACCACTGCCACCTTTAAATATTGGAACAATAACAACAAATACAATGAGGGAATGAGGAGAGTGGATAGTGGAGGTGTGTAGCGTAGCTGTGGCTGAGCACTCTTCTCTTGGCAGCTAGCTCGACCCCTATTCCTCCCTAGCTCAGCTGAAATGGATGCATTTCTACTGCAGGCTTTGTTACTATGGCAACACATCAACCAAGCAGCTGTAGCTAAGGCTGGCCTGCGCTTGCCATATACTAATATTAATAAACATGTTCAAAACCTATATTATAATTAGATATTTTGTTACACCCTGATTATTGGCTAAAGCAGCTGAGGCTTCTGGGAGTTGAAGTCTAAAATATATAGAAGACTAGAGTTTGGGAAACATTGAGCTATACTGTAGAATGAATGCAGTTTGACACCACTCGGCTCAATGCTATGGAATCACGGAAGCAGTAGTTTTATAAGTCTTATAAGGCCTTTTCTGCCAAAAAGTACTGGTGCCTCACTAAACTACAACTCCCATGATCCTATAACGCAGAGTGATGGCACTAAAAGTATTGTCAAACTGCACTCATTCTATATACTGTAGATGTCCCCTAAATTGATATGAATTGCAGAGATGATTTGTTGCCAAGGTATGAAACATGTAGCAGTCCAGTTGTTGTCAGACTACAACTCTCAGCATTCTTTACCATGGCTAGATCTCATGGGAGTTGTAGTCCTGCAATAACTGGAGAGATTAAAATAAAACTCCAAAATCAAAACAGCAAATAAAGAACAACATTCAAAAATGGGAATTCAAGACTAGAAACAATCAGAGCCAGCAAACATCTCCCAACAAAGGATTCCCCAGGCAGTACGAAGCCAGACCTTAAAACCAATAGGCCATTAAATGCTGATCAAGGTGGCCAATTGCAACATTCACACCTACCTCCAACACACAAGAGTTCTTTCTTCCACCTTGGACATTCCACAGATATATAAACCCCATTTTCCTAGTTTCCAACAGATTTCACAACCTCTGAGGATGCCTGCCATAGATGTGGGTGAAACGTCAGAAGAGAATGCTTCTGGAACATGGCCATAAAGCAAGGAAAACTCACAACAACTCAATATCTGGAGAGCTGGATTAAACCACGATTTTGCCCACGTACTTTCAGGAATCAGTTCCATTGAATTCAGTGTCATTTGCCCACGGGTAAATTACTATTGCCTTGGAAGCTTAATCTGCATCTTTCAAAGCAATCAGCAACTCATCTGCACAAATAGCAGATGAGATGTTAAAACAGTTCTTTGCCTACATTATTACTGTGTGTGGGTGCCTGGATTAATTGCTCGTGCATATAAAATAGCACCTTTACATATTTCTTGCCTACGTATACCCTATGGCATTCCCAAGCTTGTCAAGAGATGACTCAAAGACACGAATACACAAAGTATGCAGGAAGCACTATGTCAGAAGAGAGATGCGTCTTTGGTTTTGTCTTTAACGTGCTGGTTTTATTCTTACTTCTTACTAGTTCTACCTGCCACGGGTTGCTGTGGCCAAACTTCCCTCCCTCTTTCTCTCCTTTTTTTCTCTCCTTCTTTCCTTCCTCTTTTTCTTTCCTCGCTTCCTTTGCTCTTTGGTTCCATCTTTCCTTGTCTCCTTCCTTCCTTCCCTCCCTCCCTCTCCCTTTTTTCCTTCTTTCACTTTTTCATTTCCTTCTCTCCTTTCTTCCTTCTCTCTTTTGCTCCTTCTTTCTCTCCTTCGTTCTCTCTTTCTCTCCTTCCTTCCTTCCCTCTCTCCCTCCCTCTTTCTCTGTTTTGTTTCTTCTCTCTGTCCTTCCCTCTCTTTTTTCCTTCTTTCACTTTTTCATTTCCTTCTCTCCTTCCTTCCTTTTCTACATTTCTTTCGCTCCTTCTTTCTCTCCTTCGTTCCCTCTTTCTCTCTCTCCTTCCTTCCTTCCTTCCTTCCTTCCTTCCTTCCTTCCTTCCTTCCTTCCTTCCTTCCTTCCTTCCCCCTTTCTGAGTATATGTGTTTTGTGTCTGTATATATGCATATATGTGTGTATATATTTGTGTATATGTGTGTTTGTGTATTTGCTTTATTTCTGTACCGGATTTTTCAGCCCAAACAGGTGACTCAATGCTGTATATATATATATGGTTTTGTGCATGTGTTGTAATGTATTTTTTTGTTTTTTGGCTTTTGAAGTTACTTCTGCTGTGTTTTTCAGTATTTTTATGAGTGATGGTCACTTGTTTGCCTGATAGGTGCCTTGTGTCCAAATTTGGTGTCAATTCGTTCAGTGGTTTTTGAGTTATGTTAATCCCACAAACAAACATTACATTTTTATTTATATAGATTTGGATTGGAGAGGATTTGCTCACACGAGAGAAGCATCCAGATATGCCTTTGTACCAGCAGCCCAGTCCAGAAGCAGTTTAGTTACATGATCCAATGCTTATACTGTTTTTATATTGTTTTATATTGTTCTGTTGTTATTTAAATTGCATATTTATGTTTTTGGTTGTGGGCACCATGGGGTGCTGTTTTGTTAGCCGCCCTGAGTCCCTCTGCGGAGGTCAAGATAGGACGGTAATACAAATGTCCGAAATAAATAAATAAACAAATAAATAAATAAATACTTTAGACTCATGTGGAGCAAAGTTACTTTTGGGACTACAGTTTCCAAGAACCTGCTACCCAACATGGTTGCTGGGTCTTGTCATCCAAATAAAGTGATCTGTCTAGCCATGAACTTCAGTCCTTAATTTCCTCTTTGGGCATTGATGTTTACTTTTTCATTTCCTGTTAAAACGGTTTTATTGGTTCTTTAAAATAAACTTCCTTTTTTTGTTGGTATCTTTTTACAGGTTCCTGTTGCATGTAAATCTTGTCCGTGTGGTTATATATTTATTAGTCGAAAACTCTTGAACGCTAAACGCTCGGAAAGGCTGCCTCCCACTGCAGGTATTGTTCCATTTGATGCCTTGTCTGTAGTTTTCATGTGCTGGAAATATTACTTTCCTTCTTCTATTAAAATAAATCCAAAACCTGAATTTTACACTCAGTGCCTTGTTATATTCTGGCAATTTTTACGTTTACTAGCATATATGCCTAGCGTTGCTCAGGTGTTGTTGGGACTGCGGTTCGCTTTCTTTCTCCCTTCTCCAGCTCTGAGAAGGCTTTCCTCACAATGCCTCCATGGCAACAATCTGGCAACAGTGGGTAGGCTCTCTTTGTCACCTTTTCTTTCTTTCCTCCATTTCTCTCCTACATCTTCTCCCTTTTTTCTTTCTTTTCTTATTCCCTTGCTTTCCATTCTACACCTACTTCTTTTTTCCCTCCCTCCCTTCCTCATTCTTTCTCTTTTTCTCTTTCTTTTCCCTTCTTTTTTCTTTCTTCATCCCTTTCCTTCATCCCTTCTTCCTTTCTTTTGCTTTCCTTCCCTCTCATATATTTTCCCTTTCTTTTCCTTCCTTCCTTTCCTCCTTTTTCTCCCTCCCTTCTCTCTCCCCTCCTTCTGCTTTCCTTTCTTTTTTCTTCCCATTCTTTCCTTTCCTCCTCCTTCTTCACCTTTCCCTTTCTTCTTCTCCTTATCCTTTTTCTTTCCTTTTCTCTCCTCCTTCTTTCCTTTCCTTTCCTCCTTCTCCTTCTGTGCCCTCTCTTTTTTCTACTCCTCCTTTCCTTTCCTTTCTTTTCCTTTCCTTCTCCTTCTTTCGTTTCCTTCCTCTCCCTTCCTTTCCTTCTCCTTCTCCTTTCATTCCCCCTCCTTTTTCTTCTCCTTCTTTCCTTTCCTTTCCTCCCTTTCCTTTCTTTTCTTTTCTTTTCCTTTCTTTTCCTTTCCTTCTCCTTCTTCTTCCAATTCCTTCCTCTCCTTTCCTTTCCTTTTCTTTCCTCTCCTCCTTCTCCTTCTCCTTTCCGTCTCTCTCCTTTTTCTTCTCCTTCTTTCCTTTCCTCCCTTTCCTTTCCTTTCCTTTCCTTTCCTTTCCTTTCCTTTCCTTTCCTTTCCTTTCCTTTCCTTTCCTTCTTCTACTTATTTTTCTTCTTTTGTTTCCTTCCTTTCCTTTTTCTCCTTCTCCTTCTCCTTCCCTTCCTTCTCCTTTTTCTTCTTCTTCCCTTTCCTCCTTTTCCTTTCCTTTCTTTTCCTTCTTCTCCTTGTCCTTCTTCCGTTTCCTCCTTTTCCTTTCTTTTCTTTCTTTTTCTTCTCCTTCTTTCTTTTCCTCCTCTTTCGCCTCCCCCATACACCTAGCAACAGCCAATCCACTTCACCCCCTTTCTTTCCCAGTGATGCCACAGAGGGCCACTTCACCTAGCCACAGCCAATTTACTTTGATTCTCTTCTTTCTTTTGACTCTGGGCACGAAAGATGTGGTTCTTTTAGTTCAAACTCTTCCATTATTTTAAGTTGGATAATAAAAGTTATTTTACCAAGTTTAGTCCAGATCCATCAAGGCACGTGGGAACCTTTGTGGTACAAATGTTATTTTACAGTTTTTGCTGTCCTGGGCATTGCATGGGCTTTTTGTTTTGCAAGAGTTGGTTTATTTCGTTGTATCAACTTTGCAAATGTGTACGCTTAAAATTTGCAGGGAAACAGAAATATTTCTAATTTAATGTTGACAACATAACATTTTACATGCTAACAAGCCCTGAAAGAGCAGAGAAGTTACAATAGTAGAATACAAACTCTGATGCAACAATGACTGTTGTTTGTTACCAGCACTGAATTAACACTTTCAATAATGAATGACAGGTGTAGCAATATTTTGCAAAACTGTTTCACGAGTTGCAGGAAAAAAAATTCAACGTAAATTGTTATTATGAAGAATTACATCGAAATTGCTAATTAATTCTACTTTTACCTGCAAGGTAAAACTAAAGGGCAGTGTCTTTTCTCAGCAATCAATGTGTTGCGTTTGTGTTTTGTTAAGTCTTTTCTCTTTTGTGGGTAACCTATGACATTTATGACTGTGAAGCACCATAAAAAAAGAAAAGAAAGATACAATCTCCACTTTTTTGCATGACCATAACAATAGCAATGTTTTTGAACAGAAATCAGAAACGAGGCGAAGAGAAGACGGACAGAAAGGGTCAGAAGGGAGAGGATAAACTCTGTGGTCAATAAAGACTTAGAAAACCGAAGAAGAGCCCGGTCCAACAGCCATTCGGATCACAGCAGAAGAGGAAGAGGGAGGCCAAAGAATGCCACCGCGAAAAAGCACGAAGAAGAAAGAGGTACGCAATACGGAGACGTCCCTTGCTGTGTTTAACATACAGTTCGACCTCCATTTCCATGGAGGATATGTTATGAATTCACAGTGGAAACCTGAAACTGGGGAAAATAGCGAATCTTATTGAAATGAACGACTTTCCCTGGAAGTTAGAATAGAATTGCCCTGGAGAAGTTATAAAATTCCCACATAGATACCCTATGAGAGTACAGATAAATCTGACCAGTCAATATATAATTTATAATATTATAATGTAATGCAATATAATACTAATAATAATATGATATTATAATTATATATTTATATCACATGTAATATTACTAATAATATTACAATAATGGTATAATACAATATAGTAATATTTAATATTGATATTGTACTATGCTAATAATATAATATATTGTATGTATATATATTTTGTAAACTGCTCTGACTCCTCTTCGGGGTGAGAAGGGTGGCATGTAAATGTCATAAATAAATAAATAGGCCCCTTGCTGGCCCAGTATATTAAACCACTGAGCTGCTGAACTTGCTGACTGAAAGGTTGTCGGTTCGAGTCTGGGGATCAGGGTGAGCTCCTGCTGTTAGCCCCAGCTTCTCCCAACCGAACATGCAAATGTGAGTAGATCAATAGGTATCACTTCTGGTAACGGTGCTCCACAATCCTTCTGTAGGCATGGTGCCTCTTTTCATTGTAATTATAACCATAGTACAATATTAGTATTATATATTACTATATTTTAACTATACCATTACAATGTAATATTATTAGTAATATTACATGTAATATGAAATATATAATTATAATATCGTATTATTATATTGTATTACATTATAATATTAATATATTTTCTCCTGTGTATACCATGGTACCCTTTGGTTTTGTTAGCTTTGTAGAAAGACATCCTAAGTATGCTGAAGGAACCCAGTTCTATCTTGTTTCATTCCAATCCATTGCATATCCCTCTTGCCGAATTGGTTTTCAGGGTTTAAATTGATTATTTTTAATATTCTTCAGGAAAGAAAGAGGGAGGGAAGGAAGGAAAGAAGGAAGGAAGGATGGAGCCAAAAGCAAAGGAAGGGAGTAAAGAAGCAGGTAGAGAAGGAAGAAAGAAGAAGGGAAAGAAAAAGAGGGAAGGAAGGAGAGAAAGAGGGAGGGAAGGTTAGCCACAACAACATATCTTGTGTGTGTGTATACACACACACACACACATCAACTTTGGGTAGCATAGGGAAGGCTAACACCCTTGCGGTGTTTGTTTTGCTGTCTGTGCCCCTGTTCAGAAGATCTCCCCTCACTTTCTGTCCCTGTGATCACTGAATTTTGAAAATTTTGGTTTCCTGTAGAAAGCAGGATTTGTCAGAAAGCTTCAGTGGAGACACCTTTTCCCTATAATCACCCTTTCAGGAGTGAATTTCCCTTCTGAGAGGGAGATTTCTCTCACTTCCTGTTGTTAACCATGACTTGTTTGTAAGCTGGATGCTTGTAACTCAGGGTCTGCCTGTACTTGGTTCATGCCGTGTTTGTCTTTTTTTCCTCCCACAATCTGCAGAAAAACAAGAAAAAGAAATAGACATGTATGCAAACCTGTCTGACGAAAAGGCATTTGTATTTTCGGTAGCCTTGGCAGAAATAAACAGAAAAATTATCAACCAGAGGCTTATCCTGTGATGGCCGGGGCAGGAATTCTGCATGCCTTGCTGTTTAATTCAGGGGGTGACTTTGGGACGTATGGCGGCCTCGTGACCGTTCTGTTGGGTCGCCTGCATCAGAGGAAGCCATGCGTTTTTCCTGGCGGATCCTCTGACCCACTTGCTCTTTCGTTTCGAGATGTTTTGGGAGACGGCGGACTTGGTGTTCCAGCTTGTGTGGTCAGGAAGCAAAATGACCAACACTTTCCGCGAGAAAGAGAAGAAGCTCAAAGGCAACATCCTACAAAGACGGCTTCTGGAAGAACTTGGCAGAGATTTCTGTTTCTTTTGACACTTCTGGCATTGAAATGCAATATTTTAATTAACTTAAATGTCTTTCACAGCATTGATTCCAGATTTGCAGCTTACGTTGAAGCTTACCTGTGTATATAGTTCGACTAACCCTTTTAATAAATCAATATTCGGTTATTTTATTACAATCTGCAGAGCGATATCGAATCATAACAGTCCAACCCCCTGCCAAGAAGCAGGAAAATTGCATTCAAAGCATGGTTTCCTCCTTTCTGTTGACATGGTGGTTGTGAGAGTGGTCCAGCATTTCTGTGTTCTCAAATAATGTGCTGTGTCCAGGTTGGTTCACCAGGTGCTCTGCTATGGCTAGTTCCAACAGACCTCACTACCTCTTTTTTCCTAGTTCCAACAGACCTCACTACCTCTGAGGATGCTTGCCATAGATGCAGGCGAAACGTCAGGAGAAAATGCCTCTAGACCAGTGGTTCTCAACCTTGCTAATGCCGTGACCCCTTAATGCAGTTCCATATGTTGTGGTGACCCCCAACCATAATATTGTTTTCATTGCAACTTCATTACTGTCATTTTACTACTTTATAAATCGTAATGTAAATATCCGATATGCAGGATGTATTTTCATTCACTTGACTAAATTGAGCAGAAAAACCAAATATGCCCAAATCTTAATGCTAGTGGGGTTGGGGGAGGATTGATCTTGTAATTTGGGAGTTGTGGTTGCTGGGATTTATAGTTCACCTATAATCAAAGAACATTCTGAACTCCACCAATGATGGAATTGAACCGAACTTGGTACACAGAACTCCCATGATGATTAGAAAACACTGGAAGGGTTTTGTGGGCATTGACCTTGAGTTTGGGAGTTGTAGTTCACCTATATCCAGAGGAGTGCTGTGGATTCATGCAATGATGGATCTGGACCAAACTTGGCATGAATACTCAATATGCCCAAATGTGAACACTGGTGGAGTCTGGGGAAAATAGACCTTGACATTTGGGAGTTGTAGTTATTGGGATTTATAGTTCACCTACAATCAAAGAGCATTCTGAACTCGACCAACAATAGAATTGGGTCAAACTTCCCACACAGAATCCCAATGACCAACAGAAAATACTATGTTTTCTGATGGTCTTTGGCGACCCCTTTGACACCCCCCTCATGACCCCCTCAGGGGTCCCGACCCCCAGGTTGAGAAACACTGCTCTAGACCATGGCCATATAGCCCGAAAAAACCTACAACAACCCATTCCTTCAACCATTGATGGCCACCTACTGCCTATACTTAATACTGCAAGCACACTTTACTGACCTTCCTCATGCCATGACCCCTTAATACAGTTCCTCATGTTGTGGTGACCCCCAACCATACAATTATTTCATTGCTTCTTCATAACTGTCATTTTGCTCCTGTTATGAATTGTCATGTAAATATCTAATAAGCAGGATGTATTTTCATTCACTGGACCACATTTGGCACAAATACCCATACACACCCAAATTTGAAAACTGGAGGGGTTGGGAAGGGACTGATTTTGTCACTTGGGAGTTGTAGTTGCTGGGATTTATAGTTCACTTACAAACAAAGAGCATTCTGAACTCCACCAACGAAGGCATTAGGCCAAACTTGGCACACAGAACTCTCATGATCAAGAGAAAATATTGGAAGGGTCTGATGAGCATTCACCTTGAGTTTGGGAGTTGTAGTTCACCTACCTTCAGAGACTCGAACAGTGATGGATCTAGACTAAACTTGGCACGAATACACAATATGCTGAGATGTGAACAGTGGTGGAGTTTGGGAAAAATAGACCTTGACATTTGGGAGTTGTAGTTGCTGGGATTTATAGTTCACCTACAATCAGAGAGAATTCTGAACCCCACCATAATGGATAGAATTGAACCAAACTTCCCACACAGAACCCCCATGAACAACAGAAAATACTGTGTTTTCTGATGGTCTTTAGTGACCCCTCTGACACCCCTTGGGAAATTTCACCGAAAGTCAGCAGGTGACTTGAAGTTGCAAGCAGATACACAGATAGAAAGGTAAAGCTTTCCCTTAACATTAAGTCTAGTTGTGTCTGACTCTGGAGGGTGGTGCTAATCTCCATTTCTTAGCTGAAGAGCCGTCGCTGTCCCTAGACAACTCCTAGGTCATGTGGCCGGCATGACTGCATAGAGCACCGTTACCATCCCGCCGAAGTGGTACCTATTGATCTACTCACATTTGCATGTTTTTGAACTGCTAGGTTGGCAGAAGCTGGGGCTAACAGTGAGAGCTCAACCTGCTCCCCGGATTTGGACTGCCGACCTGTCGGTCAGCAAGTTCAGCAGCTCAGCACTGAACCCACTGCACCACCATTTGTGGTACAAACAGATAAGCAAACATACATTGTTTTTAACTGGGAATTTTTAAATACTGTTCTAATGTTTGCATATTTGGAAATGTTAAATTATATGCTAATGTTTTTATGTTAAGCCACTTTGAGTTTCCTTTTGGAGGGATAAAGTGGGGTATAAATAAATATAATAATCATAATAATACCTATATTACAAATCTCAAACCACTCAGCCATGGCTGGGTCTCATGGGTTGCCATGGCCTTCCTCTGAGGCTGAGAGAGTATGACCTTCCCAAGGTCATTCCATTGGTCGTCCATTTCCATGGTTCCTCCAAGGTCCTCTTACAAATCTCCAACCACTAAGTCATGGCTAAGTCTCATGGGTTGCCATGGCCTTCCTCTGAGGCTGAGAGAGTGTGACCTTCCCAAGGTCATTCCATTGGTCTCCATTTCCATGGTTCCTCCAAGGTCCTCTTACAAATCTCCAACCACTAAGTCATGGCTAAGTCTCATGGGTTGCCATGGCCTTCCTCTGAGGCTGAGAGAGTGTGACCTTCCCAGGGCCACTCCACTGGTCTCCATTTCCACGGTTCCTCCAAGGTCCAGGTGCAAATCTCCAACCACTAAGTCATGGCTAAGTCTCATTGGTTGCCATGGCCTTCCTCTGAGGCTGAGAGAGTGTGACCTTCCCAGGGCCACTCCACTGGTCTCCATTTCCACGGTTCCTCCAAGGTCCAGGTGCAAATCTCCAACCACTAAGTCATGGCTAAGTCTCATGGGTTGCCATGGCCTTCCTCTGAGGCTGAGAGAGTGTGACCTTCCCAGGGCCACTCCACTGGTCTCCATTTCCACGGTTCCTCCAAGGTCCAGGTGCAAATCTCCAACCACTAAGTCATGGCTAAGTCTCATGGGTTGCCATGGCCTCGCTGAGGCTGAGAGAGTGTGACCTTCCCAAGGCCACTCCATTCGTCTCCATTTCCACGGTTCCTCCAAGGTCCTATCACAAATCTCAAACCACTAAGTCATGGCTAAGTCTCATTGGTTGCCATGGCTTTCCTCTGAGGCTGAGAGTGTGTGACCTTCCCAAGGCCACTCCATTGGTCTCCATTTCCATGGTTCCTCCAAGGTCCAGGTGCAAATCTCCAACCACTAAGTCATGGCTAAGTCTCATGGGTTGCCATGGCCTTCCTCTGAGTTTAAGAGAGTGTCACCTTCCCAAAGCCACTCCATTAGTCTCCATTTTCATGGTTCCTCCAAGGTCCTAGTACAAATCTCAAACCACTAAGTTATGGCTAAGTCTCATGGGTTGCCATGGCCTTCCTCCGAGGCTGAGAGAGTGTGACCTGCCCAAGGCCACTCCATTGGTCTCCATTTCCATGGTTCCTCCAAGGTCCAGGTGCAAATCTCCAACCACTAAGTCATGGCTAAGTCTCATGGGTTGCCATGGCCTTCCTCTGAGTTTGAGAGAGTGTCACCTTCCCAAGGCCACTCCATTAGTCTCCATTTTCATGGTTCCTCCAAGGTCCTAGTACAAATCTCAAACCACTAAGTTATGGCTAAGTCTCATGGGTTGCCATGGCCTTCCTCCGAGGCTGAGAGAGTGTGACCTTCCCAAGGCCACTCCATTGGTCTCCATTTCCATGGTTCCTCCAAGGTCCAGGTGCAAATCTCCAACCACTAAGTCATGTCTAAGTCTCATGGGTTGCCATGGCCTTCCTCTGAGGCTGAGAGAGTGTGACCTTCCCAAGGCCACTCCATTGGTCTCCATTTCCACGGTTCCTCCAAGGTCCTAGCACAAATCTCAAACCACTAAGTCATGGCTAAGTCTCATGGGTTGCCGTGGCCTTCCTCTGAGGCTGAGAGAGTGTGGCCTTCCCAAGGCCACTCCATTGGTCTCCATTTCCACGGTTCCTCCGAGGTCATAGCACAAATCTCAAACCACTAAGTCATGGCTAAGTCTCATGGGTTGCCGTGGCCTTCCTCTGAGGCTGAGAGAGTGTGACCTTCCCAAGGCCACTCCATTGGTCTCCATTTCCACGTTTCTACAAGGTCCTAGTGCAAATCTCCAACCACTAAGTCATGGCTAAGTCTCATGGGTTGCCATGGCCTTCCTCTGAGGCTGAGAGAGTGTGACCTGCCCAAGGCCACTCCATTGGTCTCCATTTCCACGGTTCCTCCAAGGTCCTAGTGCAAATCTCCAACCACTAAGTCATGTCTAAGTCTCATGGGTTGCCATGGCCTTCCTCTGAGGCTGAGAGAGTGTGACCTTCCCAAGGCCACTCCATTGGTCTCCATTTCCACGGTTCCTCCAAGGTCCTAGCACAAATCTCAAACCACTAAGTCATGGCTAAGTCTCATGGGTTGCCATGGCCATCCGCTGAGGCTGAGAGAGTGTGACCTTCCCAAGGCCACTCCATTCGTCTCCATTTCCACGGTTCCTCCAAGGTCCTATCACAAATCTCAAACCACTAAGTCATGGCTAAGTCTCATGGGTTGCCATGGCCTTCCTCTGAGGCTGAGAGAGTGTGACCTTCCCAAGGCCACTCCATTGGTCTCCATTTCCACGGTTCCTCCAAGGTCCTAGTGCAAATCTCCAACCACTAAGTCATGGCTAAGTCTCATGGGTTGCCATGGCCTTCCTCTGAGGCTGAGAGAGTGTGACCTGCCCAAGGCCACTCCATTGGTCTCCATTTCCACGGTTCCTCCAAGGTCCTAGTGCAAATCTCCAACCACTAAGTCATGGCTAAGTCTCATGGGTTGCCATGGCCTTCCTCTGAGGCTGAGAGAGTGTGACCTGCCCAAGGCCACTCCATTGGTCTCCATTTCCACGGTTCCTCCAAGGTCCTACTGCAAATCTCCAACCACTAAGTCTTGGCTAAGTCTCATGGGTTGCCATGGCCATCCGCTGAGGCTGAGAGAGTGTGACCTTCCCAAGGCCACTCCATTCGTCTCCATTTCCACGGTTCCTCCAAGGTCCTATCACAAATCTCAAACCACTAAGTCATGGCTAAGTCTCATGGGTTGCCATGTCCTTCCTCTGAGGCTGAGAGAGTGTGACCTTGCCAAGGTCAATCCATTTGGAGTAAGAAATCTGCCCTGCCATTTCCTTACCAGCATGAATTCGCCAAATGTGGGACCAGTCCTGGGGGAATGTGATTGATTCCTCTTGTTTAAAATATACAGTTTGGCGGATTTGCCATCCCAACTTCTTTAGCTAGGTGGCATTGCATTCCCAGGAAACAAGAGGCACATATGATCTCCCATTCAGAACACAATTGTAGGTTCTCTTGCAGCCCAATAGCCCTGACTATCTCTTTGCAAGAATTATCCACAGCAGGACCCAAGATATTTTGCTGCCAGAGGCCAAGGACAGCATCACAACATTCCTTCCTCCTACGTGTACGAGGGTTGAATGAAAAGTAACGCCTCCACCTTCGTTACTTAGGTTTGGATGGGAATATATATATATATATATATATATATATATATATATATATATATGCTCTGTGCATTATGAGTACCTTAAAAACAAAAGAACCAATGAACGAAATCACACCAAATTTGGCAACAAAACGTCTCACAACACAAGGAGTGATCATCAAAAAATTATGATTTTGTCATTTGGGAGTTGTAGTTGCTGAGATTTGTAGTTCGCCTATAATCAAAGAGCATTCTGAACTCCACGAATGATGGAAATGAACCAAACTTGGCACATAGAACTCCCATGACCAACAGAAAATAGTGGAAGGGCTTGGTGGGCATTGACCTTGGGTTTTGGAATTGTAGTTCACCTACATCCAGAGCACTGTGGACTCAAACAATGATGGATCAAGATCTAACTTGGCACGAAAACTCAATATGCCCAAGTGTGAACACTGGTGGTGTTTAGGGGAAATAGACCTTGACATTTGGGAGTTGTAGTTGCTGGGATTTATAGTTTGCCTATAATCAAAGAGCATTCTGAACTCCACCAACGATGGAATTGAACCAAATTTGGCACAAAGAACTCCCATGACCCACAGAAAATAGTGGAAGGGCTTGGTGGGCATTGACCTTGAGTTTTGGAGTTGTAGTTCACCTACCTTAAGACAGCACTGTGGACTCAAACAATGATGGATCTGGTTCTAACTTGGTATGAATACTCAGTATGCCCATGTGTGAATACTGGTGGAGTTTGGGGGAAATAGACTTTGGCATTTGGGAGTTGTAGTTGCTGGGATTTATATATACACCACCAATGATGAAATTGAACCAGACTTTGCACACAGAACTCCCATGACCCACAGAAAATAGTGGAAGGCCTTTTTGGCATTGACTTTGGGCTTTGGAGTTGTAGTTCACCTATCTCAAGAGAGCACTGTGGACTCAAACAAGGATTGATCTGATTCTAACTTGGCACAAAAACTCAATATGCCCAAATGTGATCACTGGGGGGTGTTTGGGCGAAATAGACCTTGACATTTGGGAGTTGTAGTTGCTGGGATTTATAGTTCACCTACAATCACAGAGCATTCTGAATCCCATCAATGATAGAATTGGGCCAAACTTCCCACACAGAGCATTCAGAAAATACTGTTTTCCAATGGTCTTTAGTGACTCCTTTGACACATCGCTTGTGACCTCCCTAAGGGTCCTGACCCCCAGGTTGAGAAACACTGGCTCAGAGGATGTTGGGAGTTGCTATCCAAATAACAACCTTCTTACGCTCTGAATTTGGCAAACATCATTCTACAAAGAGGACATCTAGTCTGATTCTCCCCCAGCCCTTCTGATTCTGAAATAGCCCGTCGTCTCCACTTGCCAAGAATATTAATTGGAGAACAGGCGAGTAGCTATTTAAAAAAGCACCTCCTGAGCATAGATTAGAAGAGCCCTCTTGCTCTTGAGAGATTTCCTCCCTCGGACGATAGAGATACAGGAGACAAAATAAATATGAATTAGTGCTGCGGAAGGGAGGAGGCTGGTGGCACCTGACCTTTTCCTCTAATCTGTTTGGAGTGGAGCACCTCTTGAAATATGTTTGTGCTCAGACACGGGCATTCGAAGATGTCTCTTCTGCAGAAGATGCTCACAGATCCCTAACTCTTTGTTTCCTTTGTTTCTTCCTCTCTGATTCAACCTTTGGAATTGACTTTACTGTAGGAGACTGATCCAACTTTCGTTCGTGGTAGGCTTCAGTGTGACATCGCTTTCCATCTCCTCCTGTGGTTTCCCCCAAGAAAGGACTATATGCTGGTGACCAATTCTACTTTGGGGCAAGGCTGGAAGACAAATGAAAGGGTAGGTGTTCCCATGGAAATTGGGTTGCATTTTCTTCGTATCTGTGGCACTTCCTGCTATCTGTAAGAGTACATGCAAAGTTCAGAAATGTTCCATGTTCAGACTATGGATACATACTAGGCATGGTTAGGTTCGGTCGGAATCTTCGTAATTCGGAATAAATTCAGAAAAATTCGCTTTTTGAAGTGATTTCGAAGTTTTTAAGGAAACCAGAAGTCCCTTTGCCCTACCGAAGGCTTTTCCACCATTTCTGTTACGAAGCAGTAAGTGAGTTGGAAATGATTCCGCTTTTCCCCTGCTTCTAGTCCTTGGCATCATCTAAAGCCAGAGAAGCTGTTTTAAACCAGAGTGGATGAATTTCCTCCCTTTCCTTTCCCCCCGCTTTTGTCTCAAGCCAGAGAAGCTGTTTTAAACCAGAGTGGATGAATTTCCTCCCTTTCCTTTCCCCCTGCTTCTGTCTCAAGCCTAGGAAGCTGTTTTAAACCAGAGTGGATGAATTTCCTCCCTTTCCTTTCCCCCCGCTTCTGTCTCAAGCCTAGGAAGCTGTTTTAAACCAGAGTGGATGAATTTCCTCCCTTTCCTCCCCCCCCCCCGCTTTTGTCTCAAGCCTGGGAAGCCATTTTAAACCGGAGTGGATGAATTTCCTCCATTTCCTTTCCCCCTGCTTCTTTCTCAAGCCTTGGAACCGTTTTAAACCAGAGTGGATGAATTTCCTCTCTTTGCTCCCCCCCCCCTGCTTCTGGAGTAAAACAACTCAGGATGCTTGCCATAGATGCAGGCAAAACATCAGGAGAGAATGCCTCTAGAACACGGCCGTATAGTCCGAAAAACCTACAAGAACCCAATAGTGGAATGTATTTCCAATCCTGTACCAAACTCAAAGAAGTACCAGCCAATTTAAAAACTCAAGTGTAAATTGTTTGTTTTTCCATACATCGCCACTTCAACTACTTCAACTACTTTTTCCTTCCAAGCGTGCATGCTGATAGACTCAAGGAAGCTGATGGGTCACCGCGTTATCTTCAGGAATTGCATTTTAACGCAAGGCAGTCTCAAGGTGTCCTTTCACAGGACTGTTCTGGATTTAGAGCTCCTAATGGAAGGTGGCAGATTGAGCCTGGTTTGTTCCAGACCGGCTGCCAAATTTCCTGATGGGACCCTTGCTGTCCTGAAAGCCTTGGCATTCCTCCTTTGCCTTGGCATTCTGTCTCAGAGTCCTTTTCTCTGGGTGCCATTCCCCTTTGCAAAGAGCAGGCTGAGTCCGGCAGTGGAAGAAAACAACATTGCCTTGGCTCAAGTTACTCCAGTTAAATGTCGTTCTTGATCCCCTTTGTCCTTCCGTCAATACATTCAACCTGGATTATCATTCTGAATGTGTTGCCAAGTTGCCAAGAGTCTGTATCAAGACTCAGGGAATCCCCCACTCAAATGTTGTGTCTGCCGTAAGAATGGAAAAGGTTGCTTTGGGGACTCACCTTCCATGTTGGTTGGGAAATTCTGGGATTTCTATATACCTAAGGAAAGTGAAAATAGGTATGTGTGATGTGGCTGGCGTGCCCACTTCCACAGACAGGCTCCCACTCCCACAAACAGATTTAACCCACAGTGCTGAGGAGCCACCAAAAAACCTCCTTCCAATGACATTTCAGGTTATAGCAAGCACCTTGAATGTGTAGCTTGTTGCACTCCAGGACAGGAAAAGCCCTCTGACTTTAAACACCACACCGTTGGATAGGAAAACAATCCTTTTATGGAAGATAATTAAAAAGCAATAAAGTAAAAAGCACTTTAAAGAAATAGGTAAATCCAATTAGGTAGGAAGATAAGCAGGAACAAAGTAGTCCAGGGTAATAGTCCAGCAAAGTCCACAAAAACAAAGTCAAAACTTCCCAAATAAAATGCAAGAAATCAGGAAATATGAATCCAAAGCTTGAATATAAAAGCATAGAATCCAAGAATCCAAACCATGAAACAATGGCACTTAAAACATGAATTTTCCAAGCAAAGCTTCCATGAAACAAGGCCGAGATATTGACTTGATTCCAAACAATGCTTCATCTGACTACATATCCTGTACTTGGGACTCTTATCTCCTCGTTACCTATGTCTCTCTAGCGCTCAGAAATTGGTTTCGCTTTAACTGAGAATTTCTTATCTTTTTCTGTCGGAGCCTGGCAGAACGCTGAAGCCACTGTTCGACTTTCCTGTTTTGACTGATCTCCTCCCATCTATCTATTTGCTCATTAATTTCTACAGCTGGGCCAGGTGCTGAGCTGTTTTCAAGTTCCAAATCATGGGAACTTTCTGATCGCAATTCATGGAGCACACAATCATCCCTACACCCAGTGGGGTATAACTGTATGTGGTTTAGAATACAGTTCAGCTCTATGCTCAGAAGCATTTGCTCTGAGGAGTCTTTTGCTCAGTGTTTTGCTCAATTATTTGTGCTGCTCATTTGAAGGGAGATGAAGAAGCAAAGCTCTTGGCATTCGATATTTTTTACAAGGACTGTGTAAGTTTGTTGCACTGTTTAATTTGTATGCAACACTGCAAGTTTATGTTTTGACTCTGCTGACAAAAGTAAAGTTTTCTGTTTTTTCTCCCTCCTGCTTTTGTGCAAAGTTATTATGTCTTTTGCATTGGACCAGACTAAATTCCGCTTAAGCGCAACAAATACTACTTGCACAAACTGTCAGGATTTCTTCAAGGTTTCAGACAGGGATATTTCCAGTCCTGTTGTTGCACTCCAGGACAGGAAAAGCACTCTGACTTTAAAACACCACACCATTGAATGGAAAATAATCCTTTTATTGAAGATAATTGGAAAGCAGCAAGTAAAAAGCACTTAAAAGAAATAGGTACATCCAATTACGTAAGAAGATAAGCAGGAGCAAAAATAATCCACAAAATCCATAAAACAAAGTCCACCCTTTTCTAATATAATTCAGGAAAACAGGAAACATTAATCCAAGGCATGAGTAGGCATTCATACCTTCCAAGAGTCCAAACCATGAACAAGAAATACTTAAGCAGGAATCTTCGAAGCAAAGCTTCCATGAAACAAAGGATGAGAATTACACTTGATTCCAACGATGCTTCATCTGACTATATTTCCCAAATCTAGAACTTTTATCCCCTCGTTAAGCTATTCCACACACTCAGGAATTGGTTTCGTTTTACTTGAGAACCCCTTATCTTTTTCTGTCGAAGCCTGGCAGACCGCCGAAGGCACTGTTTGGCCTGTCTGTTTTTACTAATTTCCTTTTGCCTATCTATTTGCTCATTAAGTATCGCAGCAGGGACAGGTGCCCAGTTGTTTTCAAGCCCCAAATCCTGGGAACCCTCTGGTAGCAATTCAGGGAGTGTACTATCTGTTGCACTCCTTTCAGAGACATTCTCATGGGAAACTACACTTTGCACAGGGGTCTTCTGGTTCTTCTCTGCATCAGTATCATTGACCAAACCATTGCCATCTTGAAATTAATTGGCATCACTCCACACATCCAAAGCACCCTGATCCTGAAACACAATCACAGGCTGAACTCCAACACCTATTTACTTACAGTCAGTCACCAAGTTATGAACAATATAGGTTCTATGTATTGTCGAAGGCTTTCATGGCCGGAATCACTGGATTGTTGTAGGTTTTTTCGGGCTATATGACCATGGTCTAGAGACATTTTCTCCTGACATTTCACCTGCATCTATGGCAAGTATCTTCAGAGGTAGTGAAGTCTGTTGGAACTAGGAAAAAGGGGTTTATATATCTGTGGAATGACCAGGATGAGACAAAGAACTCTTGTCTGCTGGAGCTAGGTGTGAATGTTTCAACTGACCACCTTGGTTAGCATATAATGGCCTGACAGTGCCTGGAGCAATCTTTTGTTGAGAGGTGATTAGATGTCCTTGTTTGTTTCCTCTCTGTTGTTGTGCTGTTGTAATTTTAGAGTTTTTTAATACTGGTAGCCAGGTTTTGTTCATTTTCATGGTTTCCTCCTTTCTGTTGAAATTGTCCACGTGCTTGTGGATGTCAGTGGCTTCTCTGTGTAGTCTGACATGGTGGTTGTGAGAGTGGTCCAGCATTTTTGTGTTCTCAAATAATATGCTGTGTCCAGGTTGGTTCATCAAGCGCTCTGCTATGGCTGACTTCTCTGGTTGAAGTAGTCTGCAGTGCCTTTCATGCTCCTTGATTCGTGTTTGGGTTCTGTATGTTTGCACTTAAGCTGAACTGGTATCTAAGTTGGAAGAGGCACATTTTTTAAGTCTAACTCCAGCTTTGGATGAGACTTTTTTTAGTCCACTTTCCATCCACTCGCCTGGCAGGCGGTTCTCTTGCAGAAGGCAGCATTCCTATGACCACGACTGTTGCGTGTCCTGATGACAAAGAGAGACTCATTCAGGGTAGGATTCTTTTTAGGGATTCCAGACACTTTGGCATCCTCTGCTGAGCTCCAAAGTTTGCTTATCAGCCCTTCAGGAAGTGAGCTGTAGGAACAGAGAAAAAAGCCAGGGCCGGAGATAAGGAAGTGGCTGAAATGCCTGGCCTAGTGGCCGATAAGGAGGGATGCCTATCCTGTCCAGCTCCTGCTGAGGGTTAGATGCTTGATTCCGTCAAATGCTGGAGGCAGAACCAGGGACGGAGTTTTGCCCAACAAGGCCAAGGAGGAAGGCTAGATGGGAACGCTCTATCAAGGGTCTGCATTGCATCCATCGCTTCCTTTGAGCGTGGGAGGGTCGTGCCTCTCCAATTACGTAAAGACGTTGACGGTAAGGGAACAACATCTTTTTTTGGGTTTTTAAATATTGCTTTCATATACAGTTATGCACAAGATAGATTCTGTAAGTTTGTTCTTATGTTGAATTTGTATCTAAGTCAAAACAGGTACACTCTAGCCCAGTGGTTCTCAACATTCCTAATGCCGTGACCCCTTAATGCAGTTCTTCATGCGTTGGTGACCCCCAACCATAACATTATTTCCATTGGGACTTCGTAACTGTAA